ACACACACAAACACATATATGCATATATATACATATATATCTACTTATTCATATATGTTTATTTATATATATATATATATATATATATATATATATATATATATATACATATATACATATACATGCATGTATAAACACAAACACACACACACATATGTATATGCATATATATGTATATGTATATATGAATATATATATTTATATGCACACACACACACACACACACACACACACACACACACACACACACACACACACACACACATATATATATATATATATATATATATATATATATATATATATATATATATATATATATATGTATACATGTATAAACACACACACACACACACACACACACACACACACACACACACACACACACACACACACACACACACACACACACACACACACACACACACATACACACACACGAGGTAGCACAGGGATATATATATATATATATATATATATATATATATATATATATATATATATATATATATATATATATATATATATATATATATACATGTGCGTATGTGTGTGTATACATACATATATATACATATATATAAATATATATATATAAATATATATATATATATATATATATATATATATATATATATATATATATATATATATATATATATATGTATATATATATATATATATATATATATATATATATATATATATATATATATATATATATATATATGTGTGTGTATACATATATATATATATATCACTGTGCTACCTCGGCTCCGAATGTAAAAGTTTTAATATCTATTGACTGCAATGACCAGAACATTCATTCTCACAAATATCTAACAAGTAAAATATACGATAAAATAATTATAACAAAAGCAGGTCGTGTAAATATATATGATAATATCATTAGAAGTTTCTTGCTTTAGACTCCCCCCCCCCCCCCCGCCAACGTACCCTAGGGCCTCTGCATTCACTGCGCGGCTCGCCGGGCACATAATGCTCCCGACATCCTAATTGGCTGCTCTCTGTCTGGGAAATATTTCATATTCCCAATTTATATATATATATTTGTGTGTGTGTGTGTGTGTGTGTGTGTGTGTGTGTGTGTGTGTGTGTGTGTGTGTGTGTGTGTGTGCGTGCGTGCGTGCGTGCGTGCGTGTGTGTGTGTGTGTGTGTGTGTGCATTACTAATCCCGTTTCCGTGAAAGATATTTTCAGATTAATAGAGTGAGGAATTATATAACTATAATTATGTATCACTGCGTAAGAAAGCAATGAGTTTTTGCATGAGGGCCATTGTAGTGGCGCTTTTGCGAAAAAGAAAAAAAAAATCCCCACCCCACGCTGAAAATGTCAAGGTGACAAAACCCCCTTTGAGGAAGGCTTTGATACGCCTTACAAAGTTTAGTCATTATACTGCATTGTTCAGTCTGTATTCTGATTGAGAGTTATGAGCCTTCGTTAATTCCAGTATTCAGATTCAACGCCTGTTCCGATTTAATGTCTTTTATTTAACACAGTTTACTGATAATTTTCCAATGTCACATTGCTACTGATAATCAGTTGGGTTGAGGAAGAGCATTATTGATAATGAATTGAATAATATATTTAATATCAACAGTTATTACGGCATTTGTAATTCTTGTCCACATCATTTCATCATATTTTGTCCAGTTCTTCAATTTTCAATATTTTTTTTGTGTTAAAGCATAGACTTTGTTGTATGAGGATCCGACTTTTCAGACGTTTTCAGTTCGTGAAGTCGTTTTTGTAGACATCTGGCCAGCATAGCCTTCTTTTTATACCCAAGTGCCTCAGGTGATTTTATATATCTATCTAGTAAGTTCCTGTATACATGAATATATAACTACACAACCAACTGCCTTGCTGATAAAACTAACAGGCAGAAAAAAATCTATCAACAGCTTAATTAATCTCGAGTGAGATTGTTTATTCAGCGTGTTATACGATCACAATAAAAGCTTATGATAAGAGGAAATGCTACTTTGATCTTAGGATGGTGTTCTTGGAAGGTTATAAATCCTCCCTAAAGTATTAATGAAAATAAAGTTAGTGATGCCTTAAAATGCTACTGCTAGAAAAGAAGACTAAATGAAAGAATAAAGTTAGTTCAAAGGTGAAGAAACTGTTTATAAAACTGCAAATGTGTTTGAATTTCTTACTGAATAGGAAGCACTGGATACTTCCTACTTAATTACAAGTGATTAAATGTGCAATGACAAAAGTATAGAAAACGGAAACGATGCAGTAAAGTCAAGTACTAAGTTCTAGGTGCTAAGTCAAATGGGGATAAGTAATAGAAATGGTAGCTCCTGTAGTATGAGAAAGTATAATAGTAAAGAGGCCTTTAAAAATGGATATCAAGAGGAAAGTAGACTGGGTCATATTTGAAGACGGGGCAGTAGTCTGTAACTGGGACATGGATGATGGAGCTTAAGGCCTTGAACAGACCAAGATGCAGTTACGCAATGCGGCCCAAGCTGTCTCTCGATACTCTTGCAACAGTCACACGGCAGTATAAAGACACAGTGGAAACATTCTTGATTGCACCATTTCTCCCAACAGATGACTGCAGATCGCTCTGCAGATGGTCAAAACTTCCTAGGTCACACTGGAGTACGAGAGCGATGAGCTGAGTATTCTGGGCCGTTTTAGGTTGAGCTGTCGGCGGTGAGCCTGGGTGTGGGTGGTGTCATGGTCCCAGTGCTTGGTCTCCTTATCACTAAGCGATATCAAGCTAAAGAGCAGTAAAGCAGTGAATCCTTTGATTATGGACTGCATGCTGTCCTGACTGTCATCTGCAATCGTGTTACCATTCCTGCAAACTAGCCGAGAGGAGCTGTTGTCCTTTTTGGCAGCAGCAGCAGTCCGGATTTAATTCTGACAAATCTACAATAGATTGTAACATCGTGATGTAAGAGTGATTTTTTTGGTCATTGGCTTCTTACAGCTTACATCTACTACAAGAAAATATTCGACTCGGTGAGTCGTGAATAACCCCGAGAGATCCTAAAGCTTATTGAATTAATAACATGCCTATGTAATGAAAGTGCTGTAATGTGTGCTGGGGGCATGTCTAGCTTCTATCCTGGGAATTCAGGAATGAGGTAAGGCTGTGTGTTTGCACAACGCTTTTCGGCACTCGCATGGTCTGAATTAAAGGGTAGAGGTGCCATGCAAAGTCATGTTAAGCAACTCAGAGTCTCTAAGAGCCAAGCAGCAACGGCTCTCAATGCATTTACCAGTGAGCCGAATCCCTGGGTCTAATGATCTCTTAAAACACGAGTAGGTTAACAGACAAGACTCGCAGCAAGAGCCATGGCAAGAGTATTGGGAGGTGCTGGGCTCCATTCTGCGCTCTGGAGTCTCCACTTACCTTTTCCAAAATGTCTCGCTCAGCCTACATGTAGACTTGCCTCGACTCCCTGAGGATGATCCAACCCATCAGACTGTCATCTCTAGTACAACCCTGGACGGAAAAAGCCCATGGGACGACCAACGAGGTCGTGACTTGGGCGTGAAATGTCGAAAGGGACCCTCGCGACTGGAATCGGAGGCTCAATGCGTCAATGCGCCCTTCTCGGATTCAGCCTTTCAGACCGGCTGGTTGAACAACTGAAATCAATACGCTATATTATCCAAAATATGTCAATGGGTCATTGCGCAAATTATAGCACTGACGCGGCCGTAAAGGAAAGGTTGGTCGATCGGTTGGTCTATATGGTTGTTTCTTGAACAAAGAAATTTTGAGCATCTCAAGGCCACCAAAAGCATTTAATCACGCATTTGTAAATGGCACAGTCTATGGGCAGATTCATTCCGTGTTTACCAAATGTGTTTACATCCTCTAAAAATTGTTACGAAATGTTAAATTTTACATAGCTATTCTAATTATTCTGCATGCATAGTTGAATGTGAAGTGTGAACTCACATACTAATTGTTATTGTCGATTTACAAAGAATGATATTTTTAAAACCATAAAAGAAACAAGAATGTCGGAGTTAACACTCGTCATACGAAGGAAAACAAGGTGTAATTTATGTCTGGTTATTTCAGTAATATACCGTCGTTATATTCGTAATTTTAATATATTAAAGGCAACATCCTTCGTTTATTGCTTCTTCTTAATGCAATAATAGAAAAATTATTAATCATGTAAAACAGTTCGACAGTAAAATAAGAGCTTCAACTGGAGTACAATTCTGAAGAATAGGGGAGGAGGCAAGTCCTTGACAGCAAAGCAGCTACAGTGGCGGCGTTGCTGTCGCGAGAAAGAGGAAAAAAATAATGAGGGGAGAGGAAGAAAAGTAGAAAATGTAAAGAAAATGACGTCGGAGGAACGTATGTGGATGAGAAATGGGACCTGTACGAAAGGGAGAAGAAAGCGAAGAGGGAGAAGGGAGTAATGGCAATAATGACCACCGTACTTGCTCCCGCTCAGCTTCACTGCCATCTCACATAACCTGACTTTCAGTTTCATATGTTGTGGGCAGTCTCTAGAAAGGAAAAACTGGTAACTCACCCCTGATTTTGGTGTACTCCGAGTTGCCTTTTCTTAAATCAGCTGACAGTCTTTACTTGTGATTACGCCTGGAATCCTTACATTCATATTCATATACAGTACAGTGCTTTACACCACAGTATTTCTCCCAAAAGAAACTTTAAGGTCAGTTGCCAGTTTTTGCTTTACTCGACAAACGGATCATTGCTATAGCCACTTCTACCTCAACTACTCATTCAGCAGTCCTCAGCTCTATATCACCCTCCCATTCACAGAACGTAGGTAATGCAGAGACAAGAATATTCAGTAGATGAATAAATAAATGTTTCATTTACTACCAGTCGCTAAAGATATATCACTATGACTCTTATGCCTACAGTAACAACTCTTTGATTTCTATTTGATTTTGTAATACTTCATTGTTGTAGGATCTATTTACTTGGTTCTTAATGGTTAAGTTAAAAAAATATACTGATACTTGTCACCATATATTTCACATATAAATGATTTACATATTCCCAATAACTTAAAAACATCCATATTACAGCTAACATAGTTATATCACTTTCAACTTAAAAAAGCTGAGCAAAAGACTAGTTCCATAGCAGACTTAGGAATAATATTTCTCAATAAATATTCTCCCTCACAATTCAAATTCACACCCACTTATTTAAATGAAATGATATGTCACCAATGTACAATAACTGAAACTAACACAGTGCAAAGCAGAGCCATAATTCATGTTACAAGACATGGAACCACAGTCCAATGTCCTGAAATCACTAACTCAATATAAAAATAAAACAGCTGCCCCAAGCTCCAAAGGCAGTCCCTAAAAAGAATAATCTACATTTGGAAAATATGTTTCCTGAAATGCACCACTTAGCCAAGTTCAGTAACCACTGAAGTTACAATAGATTTATAATTACTGATACAGCTTTCCACAATAGATTTAGATTTACTGGTACAGCTGTGGAAAGGAGTGTCTGTATTCCCTTTGGAATGCCAAATTAATGGTGTTTGTGGTATGTGGCTGGTGGAGAGGTTTGCCATAGCTCAAACTAATGTTTCATATGTATTGTATTTATGCTACAACCAATCACCCAATCATAACATGCAAATAGATATGAACAAATCAAAGGAGTAGAGATACTCCTTTCTGCAACTGTAGATATTATCAGCACTACACACATATTTTCTTTAAGGAAATTTTCTGATAACAGAATTTACATTTTTTAAACACAACCATTTCTGAGATGAACTGATGAAAAAATAAAATTGTACTTTAAAAAAATGAGATTCGATACTAAAAACTGGAGCACTTTCAGTGACACTTATCGATGCTTTAACTAGACTCAGTTTGACCTGTCTGCATATTGAATTTTTCTTGAAATGGCACAAACATTGGGTTCTTGGTGTGCTTCCACATATGATAACTCCAAGCCATGTTGTTGGCACAGCCTTCACCACAAATGTCACACTTGAAAGGTTTTGGTTCCTCTGGGGGCTTACATTTGTGATTTTCCAAAAAGTGAAGAGATGAATATTTCTTTTTACACATGCTACACTCAAACTGCTTGGCTTTTCCATGTGTAGAATAGTGTCGCTGCAGATCACACTTTTGGAAAAAACTACGGCTGCAGATCTCACAACGGTGTGGTTTATAGCCACTGTGGGCAAGTCTATGTCGTCTCAAAGCACTAATGTGTGACAGTCCAGCACCACAGATATCACATTTGTATGGTTTAGCTGCTTCATGACTTTCAGTGTGTTCAAGCAATTCCTCCTTGTAAACAAATTCTCTATCACAAACTGCACATTTATAGGGTTTATCTGGCATTGAACATGACATCACATTTTGTACCCCAGGCCCTGTATCTATATGTTCACTCATGATATAAGCACTGTTATCTTTGATGTGGCTCTCCATATGCTCATCAAAGGATGATTTTGTGAAAAAAGTTCGCCCACAAGCTTGGCATCTCATCTCCATAAAGCGCTCGTGTCTTCTCTTCCTCTTCATCATGCCATTCTGGTCATCATGGGGCTGCAAGCTGCCATCCATTGGGATGTTCTGATTAACATGGTGGGGAGGGAGTTGTATGGGACCCTGAGGGGGACCCAACATACTCAAGGGAAAGGAGTGATGGTGAGGATGAGGAGGAGGAATCCCCACAGGACCAATGACACATGGCTGGTGATGAGGAGGTGCTGAAGGAGGTGGAGGAGCTGTGGGGGCATTGGGTAATGGGGAGGACAATGGTGAAGAGGACTTGGGTCTACCTGTTAGATTCAGCGGAGAGCATCGTGCTCCATTGATAGTCAAATTTGAGGGTTCAGTCTGGGGTGAATAGGTGTACTGAAAACCTTGTTCCATGTGAGCTGAGACTTCCAGGTCTTCAGGGTTGAGTGGAGTGTTGCCAACTCTGATATCAAGCTGGGGTTCAAAAGCACAGGGACTCAGTGACAACGACTCCAAATTGAACTGTCTCCAATGTGTATTGATGTGCGTCATGACTGTTACTGCATCAGGGGGAAGATCCAGTCCACAGAAACGGCATCTATCTCCTACAGGAGGTCCATAACCAGCCATCATCACAATAAAGCTAGTAAAAGGAGAAAGAATCAAATCAGCGAGAAGCTACTATAAGTAGACTTTTCTATATGCCAATACTGAAACAAAATGACAGTGTAAAGAAAATAAGTATGTATAAAGTCTATTGACTTACCACATTTAGAAGACAAAATCATTACATTGGTAAAATATTAATTCTTTTCCAAACTTAGTAATGAATTTTAAGATATAATGCTATGAATTAATATATATATCATAAAATGAAGCTTAAGTATACAAAACACGAAAGAAAAGTTTTGTAAGGAAAGGATGCAAATATTCCTCTTTTTAAGGTGACAGGTAGCAAAAGACCAAGATAATAATAGTAAATTATCAAGAATCTGAACTGCAACAAGTAA